TAAGATCGTAGAATGTACCAAAGACTTTCTCTATGTACACTGTCGAATGCTTTTTCAAAATCAACGAAGTTGACATAAAGTTTTCTCTGCCATTCCGTGTACTGTTCTATTATGTTGCGGAGGGCAAATATCTGATCTGTGCATCTTCTTTCTTTGCGGAATCCTGCCTGTTCTTTTCTTAAGCAACCGTCCACGGCATCAGACATCCGGTTAATAATAATTTTGGCCAGGATCTTGCTGGGAACTGATAGCAACGTGATACCTCTCCAGTTGTTGCAGTCTCTAAAACGTAAGAAACATTTTATTCTCTCTCTCTCTCTCTCTCTCTCTCTCTCTCTCTCTCTCTCTCTCTCTCTCCCTCTTTGCCCGCCTGCTTGCCTGCCTGTCTGTCTGTCTGTGGCATATGTATTACATAATACAATGTTACTTACCACCTTGAGGGAAGAACTGAGAGTAGATTTCTTTGAACGTTTCTTCGTTCACTATACCCGTCGGGCATTCCTGAAGGAAAGAAAGGATAAAAACTTGACATTCAACTTTCATATGGTTTAACGATAATACCGAGAAGTAACTATAAGAACAGTAGGCCAGCACATGATCCACTTAAACGCAGCTGGAAAAGAAGAATCAGGTCAGACGTAGAGATAAACATTAGAGAGTTTGGTTCGGAGGACAAGCCTGAAGTTAAGGGTTCAGACTGACGTTGAGGCTTAGGGTTATGTGAGCCTGTTATGGGCTGAGCTGAGCGTAAGCGTAACACGCTGGAGAAATCGAGTGGATCGTGTGGTCCTTCATTAAAAAAAAAAATTTTTTCTGGTAAGTGTTTTACGGCATTCACAAATTTACTGCATAAGGTCATATGAGCGCGCGGGACACATTACACATTTTCAGTTGGCAGAAAATTTGGAGTTTTGCCCGGGTGGCGTCCGAAGCCTACTCTTATCGATTTTGGACCACCAAGGGATCTTTAACGTTCGAAACTTGCACACGGGGCCTCCGAGATTTCCCCCCCCCCCTTTCTGTGATGTATTTCCCTGACTCACTGAGGAAACACGATCTTGTCATTCGCTTAATGCGCTGTTTTTGAGCCCTTTAAAACAGAAGCATGCTTTCGTAATTCTTAGATTTTGCCATTCTGTTGGCTTTGTCCAAAATTTTAGATTCTTGTAACAAGAAGCGTTTTATGAAATATGAAAATTCAAGTTTATGTTTTGTGTCTGATGGATCGATATGAGTCGGATTAATGCATTTAGTCTGCTGCCGATTGGACGTGTGTCCACTACGTCCTCAAAGAGTTAATGTAAAATTTCTTAGGTGGCAGATGCCTTCGCTGCAGCGGTCTCTTAATGAGTATGACGCACACGTACACACAAGTGAACAGACACACGGACACGTAAACCATCCTTTCATTGCTCGAACCTTTTTGTCGTTCAAATACTCTGAGCAAACAACACACATTTACAATATTTTTAAGCATAGTTTAATCAGCAGGCTTGAAAAGCCTTGTAAAGAATGTTTTTTTTTGCTTCGCACTTGTGTGTCAAAGCCAATACATAATTTTAAAGGAGAAAAAGCGACAGAGGAATTATTGCTTCCCAAACAATAAGAGATCTTGCTCATAAATTATGAATCATGGTTTCTATATCGGGTGCTATGTCGCACACAAAGCCTGAGCTGAAAGGCCAAAGGGGGACAACTGCTGGGGTCTCATCTCGAGACCGGAAGTCAGGCTGGATCAGTAAGAGACAAACATGGTGACGCACAAAAATTGGCCATGTGAGTACAACAACACACTGTACAGCTGTTGCCTGAGTACTAAGAAATGTGTGAAGCTTTCATTTCGGTATCGAGGGATGTAACCGACTCCTGCAAAGCCTCTCGATTTTCTACAGATGACCGTGAAAAAAATGGCCATTTTTTTGCAAGTCCCGCCAAACTTATGCCTATGTTATTCTGGGACAAAAACAAATGCGACTGAAGGGGGAAAATACCCAATCTCAAGATTCAGGGCAAACATAATTTGAGGAATGCTTGTTTAGGCAGCAGTTGTATAACATTTCGCGGGGTATCAGTTTAAGCATTGTATCTCGGGGTTTTTGTGAAAATCACTTATAAACATATTCTCAGGCGCTGGGAAGGGGTTTATGCTCTGTAGAAACCCCAACTCGTGCGATTATTTGGTGAAATTACACTATAAAACGAAATAATTCCTCGTGTTGTTGATGGACATAATGGAGAGAAATCAGGTTATTTGTTAATACTGCAAAATTTTAATACCTCTCCCCCCCCCCCTCGAGTTTCGATACATATAGTAGTTTTGCAACTTCGCGATTTGAGCGATTGTTCTTTTCAGCAAAGAAGAATTAGATATGTTTGAAAATGCTCTTTATTTATGAAAACTATTCATTGGTGCAAGATTGTTGGGTACCATGCAATTGTTTGGGGAGTGCATATCATTTTGGGATCGAAGTCTGACGGATGCTGGAGAGTAACGATGTGCCAAATGTCATCGTCTCTTCCAAGCGTGAAGTCACAATTCGCGTTTTTCCAATACCGTGTTCAATTGTTGTTTTTGTAGTTATAGGTCAATCCATTAGCAACATTTGCCAGTCAATATTCACTATTCACAGAGCTATTCATAGAGTGCGCGACGGCATGCTGCAGACAGTGCGATACGATGATGGCACGTCACCATTCATAACGTTTGGAATTTTGAATAGGGTACGGAGAGCTCATTGTGCCAGCCTTCTCTCAATTTCTTGCAAAAGCATCCACAACGCTTTGTGAGTCATGCGCCCTTAAGTTGTTCATGGTGTGACTAGTGAATATTGAATGGGAGTGAATACCTCTTGGAGCTATGTTTTATGACTCTTATTGGCCCCACTTATTAATCAGTCTCGTAATCATTCAATACACATTATTGCTGTATTAAACTTAATAATTCTAGGTATGCAATATGCTCTACTTTTTATGATGGGTTGAGAAAAAAAAGGACAGAAATCCAGTATCCGTAAAAATCAAAAGAAATTCGAATGGTCCTGCCAAGTTTCGAATAGAAGTGAATAGCTAAAAAATAAAGTCGCAATTGTTGAATAGTTCAATCAATGGGCACACCTCCACTGGCGGGACCGACTTCCCGACCGTATCCGATCTTGCAGATACGATCAGTCGAATGTGTGTACTTTGGTTTTAATCTTGTGGCACGTTTCATGTGACATTGATCTCGATAAAAAAAACCTGACATATTGATTAATGTTTCATGCATGGAAGAGCTCGGAGGTTGTTCAAATACATAGTTGTAAAACTTATTTTTTGCATCTCGTTTCGAATAATTAAACAAAGAGCGCTGTTATTCTGACATGCAATACCAGACAAATACCACACAGCTACACAATGTTTTTATTGTCATGTTGAACGGCGGGAAAGAAAAAACATCGGAAGAAAAAGAACACCATTCATTTCTCCTAGTTTCTCCCCTGCCTTTCTCTTTTTTTTTCTTTTTTTCTCTCCCTTTCCTTTCTCCTGTTTCTAGTAAAAACACAAGACAAGAGTTGTCTTTGAGAGAGAGAAAGAGAGAGAGAGAGAGAGAGAGAGAGAGAGAGAGAGAGAGAGAGAGAGAGACAGAGAGAGACAGAGAGAGACAGAGACAGACAGATAGACAGACAGACAGACAGAGAGAGAGAGACAGAGAGGGGGGGGGTAGAGACTGGGACTGTTTCTTGCTGCGCTGTGTTTATATAAAACGCTTTAATATAATGGTCTCGTGTGATAAAGATCATAAGCTAGATGTAGGTTAATCAAAAACTTTCTACTGTTAGAGGAGGCTGATGGGGTTGTTATACGAGTTATTTTGTTACAAAACACATTTCCACTCCCGTAGCCCCATTAAGGATGACGTTAAGGTGATTATTACTGGAGCATTCGCACACGCCTTTCTCGTTTTTTTGTCTGACCGTTGTGTCCGGCTGGGACAGTTGGCCATTAAAAGAGCGGACTTTGCCACCACCTCAAGGAAAACGCCCTTCCAGAAGGAGGTCCGACATGCATGGGGACTGGTAATTAAGCTCCCGAATCGACCCCTGGCACGAACTTCTGGGTTCGCGTCCTCATCCTCTCATGAAATAAAAATAATAACCCGTAACTCCTCACCCCCGCCCCCTCCCCACCCCTCTCGTCAAGCGAATTAAAAAAACCCAAAACGTGATCTTATGAAAAGTAGTAACAAACTACAAAAATGACATTTACAGTTCTGAGTTTATACCGACAATTGATATGTTTCGATTCACGATCGTTTTATTGCTATCACGGCATTATATCAATAGAACGCGGTAGACATTAGGGCAATAAATAAACGAAAATATACATTTTGCTCGCCATTGAAAAACTGTTTACTGCTTACATGGTGCACCGGCGTTTTTAGTGTACTTGTTAGACTTTTCGCTTTGCAAGCTCCGCCCCCCCCCCAAAAAAAAATGGAGGAAAAAAAACCCCAACACAAAATAAAACAAACCACCCCTCCTCCACCAAACCCAAAGAAAAACAAAAAAATAACAACAAAACAAAACGAGAACAAACCCCACTCCCCAAAAGAAAAAACAAATCCCCCCAACCCCCCCCCCAACCCAAAACGAAGCAAAAATCAAAACAATAACAACACACACACACACACACACACACACACACACACACACACACACACACACACACACACACTCACACACACACATCTACAACAGCCTCACGGCTTCGAGAAAAACTCAAATCAATCTAAAAAAAACCCTGAGTAAACTCAAAAGAAAAAAGAACAAGCACACCCATCAACAAAACGTTCAGTTCATTGTGTCGGTAAATCTATTTTTATAGCTAGTTTTTTTCAGCTGGGAGAGTGTGTCCCAAGCTGCTCATTTCTTTGATGATCTAAAATTAAATTAATGGGCTAGCAAAACGTCAACAATCTTGATATTTTTACTGAAGCACGTAGTTGTCTATAGTGAGGAGCAGACTGTTTATCATCCAGCTGGAGAACCAGAGATATTGTTAGTTTGGCACAACAAACTATCCATTTCACGGTTAAACTTTTACACAATCCAACTAGAGTAGTCGATTATGTGAAATATAGAATCATTACTACATTCATTTTGTGCTTTCAAATTGAGTGATATGTTCTGCCCAGTATCCTCTCCAAATGGACTGTTTGTCGTATTTTAGAGGAGCTGTATGGTATGATACAACAAACTAAAAGTTTAGTTGAAGCCTCCTTTCATAAGAACTAAAAGTTTAGTTGAAGTATTTGTTCATGAACTGAAAGTTTAGTTGAAGTATCTATTCATAGAAGTAAACTTAGTTGACAAATCTGTTCATAGAACTGAAAGTTTAGTTGAAGTCTCCATTCAGAGGACTAAAAGTTTATTTCAAATATCTATTCATCGAAGTAAAAGTTGACTTAAAATATCTATTCATAGAAGTAAACGTTTAGCTGAAGTCTTCATTCATAGAACTAA